CAGCTGCAGCCTGGACCACCCGCACACCTCCGCCCATTCATTGCCCCACAGAGGACCGCATGCCATCTGCATCCCTCGGGCACCACTGTTTAGGGTGCACACCACGCATGTTCCTGCCTTGGGATCTCTGTACTCACTCCTCCCACTGCTGAGAACACGCTTCCTCAAATACCCACACAGCTTGCTCTCCAGATAGAAAAAAACGACCGCTGAGATCATTCTGACTCCCGTGGTTGCCAAGGGATGTCCTCACATCTGCCTGACATTTCTGGGTCCCACTGGTTCCTGACAGACAATCAGGATGCTGCAGCTGGAGGGGACCAGACACCCCATTCGGTGGCTGCAGACCTGACTCATCACTAGAGACACCCCAGAAAATCTGTGTTCCTTTTTAGTAAACAAAGCTTCCCTAGCTCCACTTCCAGGACTTTGGTCCAGTGGCTCTGAAGTGAGGCTCAGGAACCTGCATTTTTAAAAACACGCCTTTGGGGAATCAATCACCTGATCCACCACTTTAATTTCTTTTAGAAGAGAAAATAGAAACACAGAGAGGAGGCGATGATCCCAAAGACACAGTGGGTTTCAGGGGAGACAAGCCCTGAGATCGTGAGATCAAGGCAGAGAAGATCCCAGCTCACAGGTGCTCGCCTTAAATTTGGTGCCACAGTCTGCGTTCTCATGTCAGGGGAGATTAAAAAAAAAAAAAAATCACTAAGTGGGAAAAGTAGCTTAGGCTCTACCAAGATTTTGGTTTTTTAATTTTTTTATTTTGCTTACCTTTGGGGAGGGTGAGAATTGAAAGTGAAAGAAAATGTTATACATAGTGAGGGGAAAAAAAAAGACAGTATTCTAATTCACATCTGTTCTGTAAAGACTTGAGAGTAGTGGGCTGTTTTTTTTTTTTTTTAAAAAAAAAAGGCCTTTCTAAACTAATGAAGATGAGAGATTAAGAGGAGGAGCAAAGCCTGCAAGATGTAGAAGTCTGACTGATAGATGAATACCTGACACGCAACATCCCACATACACTCGGGATCCTGTAAAAGTGGGGGAGAGCTGCCGGGAATCCCACCGGCTGGGTTCCCTTGGTGAGTGCTGGTTGGGAGTCTAGTTACAGTATCCGGCGGGTCACGGGTTATGGCTCTCAGGGACTCCTGCCAGGGCTTGCTTCCCCTTGTTCAGAGGTTATTCGGCTTCTGCTACTGTAATAATGAAAGGATGAGGCTGAGCTGTGGCCTGACTCACAAAGGAGTCACAGGAGACCCAGCAGTCGTGGCCACCTCATCGTCCCCAGTCCATCTGGCCGAGCAGAGCTTGCTGGAGGCAATGGGGTGAGGGGGAACCCTTCATCTGCCACCCAACACCTGGCCTGGGGGACCCAGAGCCAAAGTGATTTGCCTTCTGCCTGGAGCACTCTCAAAACACTCCCCTACAGTGACTAAACAACAGGGCTTTACCCTGCTTGTCCTCAAAATAAGACCTAGATCGAGTGTAAGTTAGTCATCTGGCAGCGTGGATGCTGCAGCCCCCGTTCCGTTCCGAGGCTGTCCTGACTCACCCTCAAGAGCTGGGGATCAGAGAAAAGATGAATGTTCTCTGAACCTAGGGCAACATGCCTCTGCCCAACACCACGCTACCACTGCATTCCTTCCACCGTTCACTCGTCCTCAGATTACATCCCCAAATCCCAACCATCAACTGGTGGAAATAAACTCTCTTAATGAGTCAGAGAAAACTCCTCGTGGCACATGAAGTCAGCGGAAAGGGCAGGGAAGCAGGGAGCTTGCGGTGGTGATGCCCAGGGCATCGGGAAGAGGCAGCCCGGGTCCACAGCCTCCCCATGAGGCTGGTCACCAGCACGGGGCCATCAGCTGACCGGGGCAGGGTTGTGCCTGCCCCCGAACTCAACCTGTCCAGCAGCTCATTTCCAAGCAGGAAGTTTTGCAGTGTTTCTCAGTGAGGAGCGTGATACAAACACTCCCTGCCTCAACCCACCATGCCTTATACTCCCCTTTAGAAGCCTTTTACTAAAGCCTTCAGGAACTCTAACTACTCTAAACATAGACCGCCGTACGGTTGTGGTCAGCTCATCTCCGTGAAGCATGCACTGGGGAAGAAGCACCCTGGTTTATATACTTGTTTTCTCCATAAGCATCTTCCACAGACAAGCGAGAGCTCTATCTTTTTTAATAGGTTCATCTGAATCATAGGCATATCAGAGATCTATATTCACTCCTTCTCTCCCTCCGTCCTGGAGGTTCTAAAGCAGCCACAGTGGATCTCTTCTGAACCCAAATGTCAAGATGTGAAACTTCAAGCACCGTTGACTCTGAAGGGCTGTTTCAGTTCCTCTCCACGTGTGGGGCATGTTTCTTTTTTTTTTAACTTTTAATTTTGAATTGTATAGTCAACTAACAATTTTGTGATAGCTTCAGGTGGACAGCAAGGGACTCAGCCATATATAAACATGTATCCATTCTCCCCGGAATTCCCCTTCCATCCAGGCTGCCACATAACATTGAGGAGAGTTCCCTCTGCTATATGGTACGTCTTTGTTGGTTACCCATTTGGGGGCACATTTTTTAAGGCAAGGCTGTATCAAATTTTCTCGTGCCATCAGAGAAACAGCAATTTATAAGATTTACAAGATAAGCTAGGCAATTTATAAGATAAGCTAGGTACGTCCTCCCAGATTCTGCATATAAACAGCCCTATGGATGGATTTAATTTGCTGGGAAAGTTTAAAAAGTCAAGTTATTAGCATCTTTAAGAGAGCAGAGTGGAAGCAACTGAAGTTGAAGCCGCACATCGCAGTTCACAGTTCCTAGATTTGAGCTAAGTTTCAGCAAGGAATGTTTTATTGGCAAACCACTTAAGATGCCTCATCAAACTCTACAGGTTTCTGCTGACTCTGGAATTTTGTGAAATATATTGAAAACCCAACATATTGAAAACATTCTAGAGGTTAAACAGAGTAGAAGCGAAGGTCGAGGTGGGACAACCTCTATCCTGAAATCTCTCTCTCATTCCACAGGAACCACAGTGGGAAGATCCAGGGCTTCCTCCTGCCCTGCACTGTGCCAGGTCCACATGGCACCACTGTTGGGTACCAGGAGCCTTCCCACTGCACTTATGGAATCTACCTCTTCACCTCTGACTACGTGGACAATCATGAGCAATGAAAAAGAAAGAAAGAAAACTACCTATCAGTGTGTCAGGACAACCACTCGAAACTGTTGATCTAAGATACCCAAGAGCAAAGCGGGCCCTGGGAGTCACACCTGGCTGGCTGCCACCTGACCTGGCCACACAGGTACCTCGTGAGCAGTTGGAGCCAGATCCTTGGGGCACAAGCTCCTATCAATAATTCACTCCACCAGAGACCAGCCTGACTCCTAGAGAAATTCAGGGGAAAAGGCACCAGCCTGCAAACAATGGCCACCTTTTCAAGACTGTAAAAGGGGAAGAGTAAGTGGAAATAGGACCAAGACAACTGGCGTGACCATGGTGAATTCCAACTAAATGACACACGTCATCACTGTACAGAAGTCTAAAACCATCTCGGCATCTAAGAAGTAAATCTAAAGGAAGTTAAAATAAGGAAAGGAGACAATGCACGTGAAAAGGTTTCATTTAGTTTAAAGCATCATTTGCAAATTCACCGAGTGAGAAGCAGAAGCTCACACAGAAAACTGAAGAAATTCAGCAAGAACTGGTGACACCCTGAGGGCCTCCTGTGGGCGCCACCCCCGGTGCTCCACGTACCTGCTCAGGCAATCGAGAACTGAGTAACAAAAGGAGGGATTCAGAATGTCCCGAAGCGACCCTGGGCTGCGCATCTGGACAGCTGAGAATGAGATGCAGAAAAAGCAGGGGACCAGCCAGGGTTAACACAGCCTCCAGGCAGCAGAGCTGGGATCAGGATCGGATTTGGATCCACACCCAAGATGGCCAAGTGTGGATCCACCAGGCTCCGCTGCCACTCAGCCATCCTTTCCACACAGGAAACACCACAGATGGTGTATATCTCAACAGTCACGTCTCTATACTGAGTGGACAGCACGGGGTTTCCAACTACGGACACTCATCCTGCAGTGAACTCTGTACCGTTTTATTGTTTCCACTGAAGAAATACCATGATTTTCACATGACAGAAATCATATCCTGATTATTAGTCAACAACCAAGAACTATATGTATGAGGTAAACAGTTGATGAGCCATGTTAATGCTGAGAAAAATTCTATAAGGAAAAAAGGAACAACACTCAAGTGGATTTAGAAACTTACTTTTATACTAATCATGAGAATCGGAGCTTACTTTTTTCTGGCCTTGCTGAATATTTTGGAATGAAATGCAATTTCCAAAGTGTTTTTCTGTTTCACTGATATGCACTAAAATTCCTTAATGTTTCAACTAAGAGTTATCACTAATAAAATTAGTGAATTCTTCCAAAATGAATGAAACAATTAAGTAGCAATTAAACAGCAAGTATAATACATATTTCTTTGATGGGCTGCATTACAAATACTGGTTCACCGTAACATCTTTCCTCCCATGGAAAGGATTTTCCAGAAGGGGAAGCCTGGACTATCCCTCACCACCCGACCTCCAGCCAGAAACACCCAGCCCTCTGTCCACCAGCCAGACTGAGAAGTGGGGCATCCGGGCCCTGTCTGTCCGTGTGCTGGTCCTTTGGGGCTGTGGCTCCTTCTCCCACTGAGCCCTGAGAATGCACTGTTCAGGCTTCCCCCCGGGACAGGCGGCACCCACTGCTTCCTGGTGGCTCCAGCAGGAGCAAAGGGAGGTTCAGAAGCACATGGGCAGCAGGACCCAAATGGCTGCTAGAAAACACCCATCCTGCACCTTTTCTGTAAAGGACAGGGCTTGTCTGCACACCCACCAACCACCTGTGCCTGTCTGCAAACCCAAGTTTCAGATCACCATGATTTACCTCCCCGGTGCCCAGTGAGAATTTCTCTGAGACAGAACAGAAATTTCAAACCTGTTGCTGAGTTCCGGGGCATCAGGGCTCCTGCCCACTCTCACACGCTTCTGTGTCCTTGTGCAGAAAAGCGTTCTGTGTGGCCGCCCATCACTCACACCCCGGGCTGCGTCTCGCCAGCCCCCCGGCTGGGCTGTGGTCCTGGCCGAGCAACCGCACATCTCCCGGCGGGTCAGCCCTCTTCCAGGTGGTTCTGACTGTCCTCATGGACTTGGAAGGTCCTATGGCTGGAGGGGTTTCCGCAGTGATCGGCTGTCCCTATGATACCCGCACACTCCTTGTACAGAGAAGGTAGGTTACACAAGCTTCTTGGCAGCAACCCCTCTAATTTCCTCTTTCAGAAGTTTTTTTTAAAAAAGGAACAGTCACTTGTTATGTAAACGAAGCCCCTCGATTTAGGAAGTCAGACTCTGTAAAGCAGGCTCTCAGAAAAGCCATTAGAATCCAACAAGTCCAAGCCCCACTGCCTACTTTTGTTCCTGGGTTTGTGCTCCGGTTACAAAAGACAAGACTCTCAACAGGCTGAGTGGCTTAGACTGACTCACTCCGTAGTGGCCCGGCCGGAGATTATGAAGTAGCCAATTAATTGATCACAAGATCTCCGCACACGACTCACATGGCTGTGGGTGAAACCCGGTGACTCGCCTGCAGCTGCAAGGTTGTCCTGACATTGGCCACCACCCTCTTAATGGCTCTCCCGTGAGCAAGTGTCAGCTGACAGGTCTTACTTTGCAACCTTGAAAACCCTGCCCAGAGCGAGCACGAGACGGCGGCCCTCAGCAAAGCCCCTGCAAGGCTCCGCACACAGGGGCAGGCGTGGGGCGAGGGAAGGGATACATCCTGGCGTTAATACCAATGTCGAATTTAATTTATTTACGAAAGAAAAACAGTGACAACCGAGAAGTCATAAACCCCCAAAGCTCTTGCACTGGATTCTTAATTCCTAAGCACATCCAAACTGAGAGAGCCCTAAACTAGCAGAATCCAAGAACAAAGGCAGTTCAATTTCTACTTATGACATGAATGTACTTCATTTGTAAAATGAGAATAATACTATGGTATTGTATATCAATATGATATAGCTATGATATATGTTAATATACCACCTACTTCAACATTTCATGATACATATTTTATATTTTCAGGTTATATTTTATGTGATATATCTTACATGACATATACTTTACTTATATATTATGCATTTTATGACATATATTGATATAGTACATTATTCCTATCATTTTTATGAAACATTTTATACTTTTGTTATATTTTATGATACATACTTATATAAAATATAAGTATGCATAAAATGCATTGATAAATGACACATTTCCATATTTTACATTATGTCTTATGATATATATGCTATTTTATGTGATACACATTTATATTTTATATGATATACATTGATATATCATACATATCAGCATTTTTCCATAGTACTGTGAATTTATGGGTAAGATTTTTCTTTTAGAAGAAATAAAAAGCATCGGTCGCTAAAAGTGGACTGTCCCAATTCACTTTCCTCTTGTCATCCTGAAGTCACGGTGAAGAAAACACTAAAAGTTCTAAAATCTGATGAACCCTTGGCTGGGTCTTGAGTTTGATGAAATAAAATTCATACTTCATGGTGAGACAAGAAAAACTTAAAAATGCTCCTCTGCCTGTGTGGGCCTCCCCGCTCACCTTCAGTGCCTGGTGAGTCTGCACCAACCAGACCTCCTCAGGAGACGACATCCCTTCCTAATCCAGGGAGGGGTCTGGAGGACCCTCAACTAACTCTGCACGTGTGGATCTGGGTTGTGCAAACTAGCAACACATCATCTGACATTCAACATTTGTCTCAAAAACACATCTAACTGTGACTTGACCACTGACAGGATGATGATGCTAGAGCTTTCTGAAAGAACATATCCCAGGTTATAATCTTCAGGTTGGCTCGAATAAAATTTTCCATTTCTTTCTTAGATCAACTATTGATTAATTTTTCTTCGACAGGCTTCAGAGGGCTTTAAATGTCTCGACACATGGGAGCCACATGTATTTCACTCTGTGATGTGACAAGGTCTAACACTGCACGGCAGAGGCCTCAGTTACCTAAAGACTTCACCGAGTATGTGACCTTAAAGTTCCTTTGCGACAAACCCACAGAAGATGTTAACCACGCCCTCCTCTGAGAGAGAGAGAGAGACTGTAATGCATCTACGATGGCAACCACCTCCTCTGTGACACAGGCTCAAATGCCAAGACAGGGCCAGGTTAGGGGAAAGTAAACCCACTTCTCCAGGAAGGCAACACATTCTGAGCTCAAGGCTTAAGTTCATGGCCTCAGTGAGATCAGGGGTTCTCTGTCTTTCTTCTCAACTGTCTGGAAAATCACTTTCACTTCCTCACAAGAGGACCAGAGAGCACCCTCGTAGCACCAACCTGTCCCAGTGAGCAGAGGCAGAGGAAGCCCCATTTACCACCACGCCCATCTGAGACGTGGACAAGGCCCTAGGTCAACACCTTCAGCTCACCTGGGGCTTGGCTCGCCTTGTCTAGAATCACAGTAGATGCGAAAGCATCATCCTATGTGGGTGGGGTGGAGCCTTGAAAATGCCCAAGTAACTAGATTTTATAAAATCTGTAGAGCAAACACTGCAGTGAACACAACCCACTTTTTATGTATTAAAAAACACATTTCACTTTTAAAACTTCAGTCTCTGAAAGATATTTATCTGGGCCCTGAGGAAAGGACACAAACCCTTTGTAACTATGTATTCTATATATACACCTTCCCAGTAGATAGTTGCAAAGCTGCTCAATCACTCCAGCATTTTACATCTTTCCAAGTCTTCAAACACTGTTAAAACAATGTGTATGTATCCCCAATCCAAAGGATGATGCGAACATTTTTAAACGACGAGAATAATAAGAGAAGAAAATGACAACATGGTTATGAAGGATGAAACAAGGAGGAACTGCATTGGGAAAGAATTCCCTCCAACAGAAACTCTAACCTCTCACTCAGCCTGTAACTAACATGCAAGGATGAGGGTGAGGAGGGACCAAGATGGGCCCTTGTAGTATTTCTATCAAGACTTGAGCTGTGTCTTCAATAGTCACTGCTTCTCCCTAAATTTGGTCAGCACAGTTTTTAGCCTCCACTTCCCTGGCAGGGTGGTGCTCACACGTCACAGGCTCACAAAAACCCAGGGCTGGGCCAATTATCCGCCCCCCCCCCACCCCATTTCTGATTCAGCGGTTCCGGATCTGAGCTAAAAACTGGGAATGTGATTCTCACAAGTTCACAGGACACAGTCACTCCTGGCCTGGGACCACCTGCTGGAGGACCACTTACCCAGCAAGAATCCCAGCCTCCCCATGAAGATGTTCTGGGCCTGAATTCTGCATGATTTTCTAAAAACACCCTTTTAACACTAACACACAAATTTTTTCTAATAGAGCAGTGTAGTACCTCATGATCCTAATTAGAAATTTTGAAGATAAAAAACTGGGTCTGGACGTTCACTTTGTGCAGATCTTAACATATGACCTTTTCATTGTCTTAATATCATTGAATATTTACATTAAAACTAGGACATGAGGGACTCCCCCTGCTGGTCCAGTGGCTAAGACTCCTCGCTCCCAGTACTGAGTTATCTCAATTGATTGTTCACTTCACTTACATTAAAATTAGGACATGAGGGACTCCCCCTGTTGGTCCAGTGGCTAAGATTCCACACTCCCAGTGCAGGGGGCCCAGGTTCAATCCCTGGTCAGGGAATTGGATGCCCACATGCTACAACTAAGAGTTTACTTGCTGCAACCAAAGGTAGAAAAGTTCCCGTGTGCCACAACAAAGACCCGGTGCAGCCAAATAAATATTACCCAACCCCCTCCCACCAAAAAAACACCTAGGACATGAATCCAGCTACAACAAGCCATTGGCCTCTTTCAGCGTGGTACAGGTATTATGACCAGAGGGTACTTCTGCTCAAACTCCAAACACCCTCTTTTTCCCTCTCTCTCGTCTACCACAGCACAAGGTCTTTTAGAAGTTTTAACATCTTGTGTTCACGCCAATCAACATGACTCATGGCATTTTAACATTTTATGTTTTCTCTCTGTTTCCCCTTAATTCCACAGTTTAAAACTAGATCGTATGTAATAAAGCAGGAATATACATCCAAACCACCACCACTGTACTTAAAAGGAATGCCTGTCTATGGCTCTCAAGTCCCTTACATTTACACAGGAGCTTTAACATTTTTTCAGTAAATGGAAAAACAAGTAATATGACATCGTCACATCCATTCTTCAAGCCATGCAAGCAGTGGATGGAATGGGTGAGAGAGGCAGCATCCTGTTCCCCATCTCAGGCCCACCTCCCTTGACCTCTGTCTTCTCTTTCCTGAAATGGCAGCATCCTCTGCTATGGGCTCCCCCACGGCCACTTGTCAACATGCTGGCTGAGTGCCAAAGAATTGAGGTTTCTGACCTGTGGTGCTAGGGAAGACTCTTGAGAGACACTTAGACAGCAAGGATATCAAACCAGTCAATCCCACACGAAATCAACTCTGAACATTTGCTGGAAGGACTGATGATGAAGTTGAAGCTCTAACACTTTGGCCACCCGATGCGAAGAGCTGACTCACTGGAAAAGACCCTGATGCTGAAGATTGAGGGCAGGAGGAAAAAGGGGTGACAGAGAATGGGATGGTTGGATGGCATCACTGACCAATGGACATGAGTGAGCAAACTGTGAGAGACGGTGAAGGACAGGGAAGCCTGGTGTGAGGCAGTCCATGGGGTCGTAAAGAGTCATAAATAACTCAGGGACCAAACACCAGCACACACTGGATAAGACATTCTGCTCGTCAGCTATAAGCACTACACAAGAGACCACTTATCATGGGCTCTTCTAGCAGTCAGGCTCTCCATCTGCCCACACGGTCCAGCTGTGCTCACATGCTGGGAGAAGGATCCAAGGTCACCAGCTGGCTCCCGCCGCCCCCCTGAAGCTCCACCCGCTAGAAAGAAGTGGGGAGTGGAGTGCGGGTGTGAACTCACTGATGTGTGTGAAGAAGGGAGGCCCCTGGTGCAAGTCTGTAAGCTGTACCCACTTCGACCCTCACAGCCCAGGACTGAGCCATCCCGGAGAAGCGCAGAAGAGCCGTGTGGACCACACGAGGCAGGTACCTGGTACTCCCGACCCCTCCTGAAGCCCTTCTGCCCAGGGCCAGGACCTCCTGTCCCCCCAGCACGATGCTCCAGGGCCACCTGTCCTACTGAAGCCCTTCTGCCCAGGGCCAGGACCTCCTGTCCCCCCAGCACGATGCTCCAGGGCCACCTGTCCTACTGAAGCCCTTCTGCCCAGGGCCAGGACCACCTGTCCCCCCAGCACGATGCTCCAGGGCCACCTCTGACCCACAGGACGCGGCGGCTGAGGACAGATCCACCCCCATCCCTGACTCACAGTTGGGAGAGTGAAGGTCAGGAAGTTTCCAGGTGGGTATTCGTGCGTTTCTGCATCCCTAAACAGCATGCCCGTCACGTAACAAAAAACAGTGGTCACTGTGTGTAACGAAAAATCAACTCAAGCCACAGCTGAGAGACGGGTTTGGAGAGAGAAAAAGTGAAGGTCTACTGCAGCTCCCCCAGAAGTCCAGTCTCATGACTCCTATTTAGTGGATCTCCCTCTGCCTCTTCATGCTACCCTGATGTAAAGAAAGGATCAATGGAGAAGAGAAGGCAGGGTTCCAGGTCCACAGCACAGAGCCCCCCTCCTCCCGATGGGCTAACTCCTTCCCTCCCTGATGTCTTTCCCACAGCTAGGAATGACCGAGGGCAAGCCTTCCTACCAGAGCTTCTCAAAGAGTGGTCCCCAGCAGGAGACACCAGAAAAGTTACAGGATGCTGGTAAAC